TATTTTATCATGTTTATATAGCGATGATCTATACGGCACTCTGTTATTACTTGTAAATGATCATTCGTGCTATATCCTGCTCTAAAACCTGCTTGCTTTCTTGGCTGATAGAAATCCAACTTACTTCCTAGCCTGTTGGTAATAACTCTTGTAAATAGCTTATATACTTGTGACAACAAGCTAATGGTCTGTAGTTTCTGAGGTCGCTGATATCTTCCTTCTTATGAAGTAAGATGATTTCCGCGTTGTTCCACTCTGTCGGTGTTATCGCTTCGCACAGACATTTATTGAACAGTTTAGCAAGTGTCAGTAAGAGATAGTAATGCTTCTTCAAAAATGGCTTCACTATATACATTAAATAGTAATAAGAACATAATACATCCCTGCCTAACTTCTCTCCTGATTTCAATTTCTGAACTGGTTCGTTATCTATTACGATTTGTGCTCTTTGATTCCAGTAGAGGTTTGTTATTATTCGTAAGTTCCTGTGGTCTATGTTTTTTGTCTTTAGAATTTGGAGTAATTTTTCATGTCTTATTTTGTCAAATGCTTTTTCAAAATCAACGTAACAAACATGCACATCAACATTCATATCCATGCATCTTTGAGCTAACGCATTAAAAGCAAATAACGCTTCTCTGGTTCCTAGTCCGTTTCTGAACCAAAACTGACTATCATCTATTCCTTATTCCTGTTTTTTATTCATACGACCATGTATTATTTTCAGGAATAATTTGAGAATGTGACTTATTACTGATATTGTTCTGTATTCACTGCAATATTTAGCGTTTGTACATATATGTTTGTACAATATTTAGCGGAGAGTAACCATTGTTTCGGTATGTGTCCTGTTTTGTTTACTGAGTTAAATAAGTATACTATAACGTCTAAGGTTTCATCATTTATGCATTTTAAGATTTCTATAGGGATTTGGTCTGGACCTAATGCTTTACCATTTTTGCTGTTTTTTAATGCCATTTTAATTTCCTCTTTTAATATCTTTAAAACCATATCCTTTTCTACTTCTATCTCCATCTGTTCTGTTCTATTGTGTTTGAATAGTTCATTAATGTATTCTGTCCATCTCTTTAATTTGTCGTTAGTATTCAATACAAGTTTCCCATTTGAATCTTTCAGTATTCCTGGTTTTCTTGTTCTATTGTTGTGAGTTAATTCTTTAATTTTTTTATGTGTGGTTTAAAACTATCATGCCTTTTCTGGTATTTTTCTTTTCTGCGCATTGTTCTTTTAGCCATTGTTCTTTCGCTTTCTTAATTCTGTATTTTATTTGTTTATTCATTTTTTGTACATCTTATTATCTTTGTTCTTATATTGACGTCTTTCTTCCATTAAATCTAAAATTTCTTCCGTCATTCATTGCTTCTTTTTATATCTGGTTTGTATTAAAACTTCTTTTTGACTTTTATCTATTTCTGTCTTTATTAATAACTATTCTTTCTCCGTCTCAGTATTTTGCAGAATTTGTTCTTTAACATTCATTAATCTGTTGTTGATTTCATCTGCCAGGCATTGCCTTATGAGTGGGTTTCTTAATTTACTTGTATCGATTTTTGCATTGGTTGTTCTTTGCTTTATTATTTTCATTTTGAGCCTAATTTTGGTCACTACTAGGTTGTGATCTGATCCTATGTCGGCACTTGGATAGGTTGATCTTATTATAAAATAAGATTATGTCAGGCTTGGTCGTATTAGATAACAATATTATATCAGTATTGTCATTTATGTACATAGTTGACAATGAGATTATATTTTTATTTTGCTTTGGGCAGTATGAAACGATACTATTGGTATTTTTTGGTGGAATCCGAATAGAGATTACCCAGGAACCTTATTAGTGACAAAGCATGATGGTATCTCTTTCTTGTTTTTCCTGAGTGTACCCACTAACGATAATTTGTGAGACAGTAATGTTTCTGCTAATGGTATGCTGGTATACCAGTTGTCCGTTGTGATGTTTCTTCTTGAACCGAAAAGTGTACTACACAAATGCTGTATAATATCAATGGGCTTATAGCTAACTTGAAAATGACCATCTGGCTACTTTCCAATATAGGGTTCAAATTGTATGGTATAAAATGTCTTGGAATCTCATATAGCGAAAAACTTAAGGTCATATGGTGCCGGCTTGTTTGGTAGATACTGTCGAAAAAGCATCTACCCCTAAAATTCAAAAGTTGTTCATCAATGGTTGCAAATTCGCCAGGCGAATAATTTGCGAGGCCATTATTGTTAAACTGATTATAAACTTGTCAAGCAATACTCTTTCTTCGCGGATATTTATATTGTCAAACCTTAGACATTTTATAAGAAAATAAAAACTATTGCAACTCATAGTTTTATAAAACGTTTGAATTCCAAGCCTTGAAATATCCCAAAAATCTTTGATATTCCTATGACTGGATTAACAAATGCTAGATAATATTAGTAACCCAACTAAAGCACGAATTTCTATGTCATTGATTTCTTTACAGTCTCTCTTATGTTTGTAGTTGTCGAAGAGTTTATTGATACTTTCTCGTTGGTACTTTCTGTAACTTCTTTGATTATGTCTTCAGTTATAAACTAATTAAAACATTCAATGACGGACTTGCAGTTTCTGGCTACATTTATTGTTCTTGGTAGATGGAAAATTATATTATGGCTTCTAGTTCTCACCATCTCTCTTGACCATTTGGTGACTTTTTCTTTCCCAAAGTAAAAACGACTTCCGTCTCTCTCTTCTTCTTTATCACTTATCAAATCATCGTCATTAGAAGATTTAGTCATCTTCATGCTCACTATCTGGTTTAGAATCACTCCGTATTTGGGTCAATTCTTCATCTGAAGGATATTCTTCTTTTGATGATATTTGGTCATCGCTCATACATTCATAGAAAATATTAACAGCTATATAGGCATGGGGTGTTCACAACATCCCGCACGAGTAACGGTGGATTAATGTTATGTTTTGTCAACTATCTTAATTCATTCATTAACGTGTCGGTATCATATGCAGGGATAAGTGGGCCCTGGTAAAAAGTGAGAGCTCAAAAAACGAAGAGCAAAAAAACGGGAAACGTTACGTTATACACGACATATATGCATATGTAGGAGCTTTTTTATAAATATGTTTCTTCTTTTAGTTTAATATAACTACTATAATTATTAATAACTACTACAAAGCACTATAAAAACCCGTCACATTGCACGTAAAAAAACTTTGAACAGTAAAGTGTAGAGATAAAAACAAAAAATTGACAAAACACAGCGGACACCTTCCGTACCTTTGTTATAACAAAGGTACATTTAAAAAGATATTATACTTCACTTTAGGGCGCATCTCAAATTAACTAATAACTTTGTGACATCAAAAGAACACCTGAGAATAAAAATAATATAGCAAGAGACAACTATACTGTTGAATGTGTGGATGCCTTCACATATCTTGGCACAGAAATCAATCAGAAGAATTCCGTAAGTAGCGAAATTAATGCACGTATTTCCAGTGAAAATCATACTATGCTAATAAAAGATTGATGACATCGAAATTATTAGACAAAATAACCAAAATGACTATCTAAAAACATTGATTAGACCCGTAGCAACCTACGGTTGTGAAGCCTGGGTAATGACGAAAAAAAAGGAAGACCAACTCAGGACATTTCAGAGAAAGATAGTGACAAAAATGTATGGTCCGGTACACGAGGAAGATGACACATGAAGAATCAGGAGAAACGACAAGGTTAATGAACTGAATGAAGGGTATAAGATTGTAAGATTTGTAAAAAGTCAAAGACTGTTATGGCTGGGATATGTTCAGCGACAAAAAGACACGAAAACGAAAAAGAAGATGTCACAGTAAAAGCTGGTAGAAAGGCGGAAATAGGAAGGCCCAAGACGAGATGGTTGGATGACGTAGAAGACGACCTAAAAACGATGAATATAAGACAATGGAGAAGAAGGATCCAAGATACATTTGAATGGAAGGGCATAGCCAGTTACACGGCGAATTCGTTCAAAGCAACATTGGTTATATGAAAGCAGTACGTTGGCACTGTAGCCGAAACAACAACGCACGATGTCGCTGCAGCCAAAATATATTTCAAAATAGAGGTAGAGGTCATATTAAAATATAGCCGAGTATTACTTAAACGCATTATAGACAAGGCCGCCCAACAAAAGAAAAGGGTCCCCGTAAAAAGTAAAAAAAAAACGCGAAATATTACGTCTTTAATCGACGCCTTACATCTTCGGGTCCCGATAAAATCTACCGGCTCTACAGCCCTCTCGTTGGGGTTATTATTCTGTCAATTACCAAACAAAGAATCTCTTTTTTTTATATAAGAAATAAAAGACTTCTGGATAAAGATGATACTACAGACAAGTAGAAGTGGTATGTACTGTCATAAATATGACAGATATTGACATCATTTATTTTGAAAATAAATCGTGCCATTACTATTATAGAGGGTTGGCCACTCAAAAGAGTTTACCCTGATATTTGGCAATATTTATTAGATTCAGAAGATTTACAATTTACTTCTTCGTCATAGTAATACATTTTTTTGTGTTTATATCATTGGTTTTTTCTCTTGATTAAATTTTTAATCAATGCAAATTAATGTGTCGTTTTTTTTTGTTACAGGTGGCGCAACAAGTTACTACTAAGTGTATTATTATATTTCGTTCCAGAAGTAAGTAAATTCAGCAATTAATATTTAACAGTATTTAAATAGCAATTAAAAGTAAAATGATCGAAAATTAGGGTTGTTAGCTGTTAAAAACGCGAGGTATCAAAGATGATATAAAAGAGCTAGCGCGCAACGCTACTGGGTTGAAGTGTCAGTTATCTTTCCATTGCTTTTTAATATCCTTTTTGTGAACTAGTGTTTTATTATTTTCGTCCCACATACTTCAATATAAATGATCATTATTATACGTTAGAATATATTCCCGAAGTTGTTGCTTACCTTTACTCTAATAAACATTTTTACTCATAGATGTGCCACTGTCAGTCATATGAAGATACAACAGCATCAGTGGAATACAGCGTAAGCAGTAGTAGCAGCACCAGTGTTGGAGACCATCCTGGTAGTCATGAAAAAGGAAAGCTGTCATTAGAACACACAAATCACTCAAGAGAGGCATTAAATCTTCAAGCTAATTCTCCAGAACCAGTAAGTTTTATATCGATACTATAAGTAGAATTATAGAAATAAATAGTACTAACTATTTAGGTTAGGTTAGGTTAGCTCATGGACATAATAATATAAATAAATTGATTGCTGCAGTACAGTCGCGTTCCCCCAGTGCGACATAGAAAACTGATTCAAAACAGTCCCTGCATCTCTAATGGGCCAGGTTTATAGACCACGTGACCTAAATGATTAATGAGAACATGGACGTATAAACATAGATGAACACAGCAATAAGATACCTTTAACACACAATGTTTTGAAGCTTCGATAGAATGTGATGCTTCCGCAATGAGCATAAGCGTGCTTGAATTTATACTCGCGGGTAATTATTCAGATTTTAAAAATTGGAAGTAGTAATAATGTATAAAAACACGTTCAAAGATTTAAAAAAAAAACGAGAGTTTAACTATTAACAAATCACGTCTTTATAGAAAAATTTAAAATACAATTGTATTTGCTTTAAAATTTTACAATTAAATATAGTTGAATTCAAGTTAATTTTTTAATAGTATCAAAATAATGCTCCAATAAAAAATCTTTATGTTTTCTCCTTAATTTGATACCCAAATAGTTCGATCGTCAATATTATTTGGAAACCTACATAGAAAAATAAATGAGTTTTATTCATTTATTTGTATCCATGAGAAATATTAAATTAAAAAGGTACTAAACAGATCTTTTTTAATCAGATGATGTCTACTTACAATTTATAAATGTCTACTAATTTCATGAACTCATATCTTATTCAATACATTAATGAACATGAATAAACCCAATGGTACGCCTATTAAAATGTAAACAAACACGCTTCCTCATTTCCTCATCTTAAATAATGTAAATTGTATGTACTTACAAATGAAATAAGAGATCGGGATGTAAATATTTCGTTTATTTTATTTCACTTTTTACAAATATTACTCAAAATACAGCCAAAATATCAAAAAATAACTTTTTCCGCAAATCGCCAGGAAATTTTGACATTCCTGTCAAAATTTCTTGAAGAAAAAGTCAGGACTTCCTTACTGTAAGGAAATGTCATTTCCTTACTGTAAGGAAATGATATTTCCGTACAGTTGTTAGTGTTCTACATAAATGATAGAAAACACATTGCTTATAAGGAATTAATTTATCTTTTGAAAACATCAAGTCATTGCTGAATACATTTTTAAGATCAATTTGTTATATTTACAGTAATTTGACAGTTAGTACAATTATTGAACATTGGTGGAAGACTCTTAGAACTATGAGAAACATTTTGGACAACATGCAGGGTGGAAGTGTCATTTTGTTAAATATTTTGTACTGTGAAAATTTTATTTGCCACCTCAACCTTATTGTTAAGCGATTCTTCGATATATCCTTCAGCAACGTTTGATGACTTCCATCCGCCATGTCTCTTTAAACTAGTTATGTCGGCACCAGAGTCAACCAATATTGTTGCAGAAGACCGACGAAAGCAGTGACCAGTATATTCTGTCGGATTTACCAAGTTCAAATAAGTAGCAATTATTTTGGGCATTTTTCTAAATTGATGAATTCCTACCACTTGTCTACAACCCTTTCCGCTTTGATATTTAAAGAAAAATCGGTCACTATTCATATTTTCTGGTCTTAACGAAACATACTTTCGATAAACATTCAAGTAGATCTGATTAATTACAAATGATCTTGGTTTGTTGGTTTTCGAATCAGCTATGCTGATTAAAAGCTTAGATTCTAAGTCTTCTATATCGTGTACAGTCATTCGGACTAACTCATCCATTCTACAGGCCCCAGAAATACCAAATATTACAGCCACCTAAAAAATAAATAAAGCTATAATCTAAATAGAAATTAAAACCTTGTAAATTACCTTAATCATTAAATTTTCTTTATCTGGAGCTTCCTGGATAAATTTTTCAATTTCTTCCTTCGTTAAAATCTTAGATTTCTTTGCCCTATAACCTTGAGCTTGCCGTTTCAATAAAGAACGAAGTTTTGAGTATGTAGATATATCTACATTGTGTTTAAGTGCAAGGGTTGACTTCAGCATTGAATAATTGGCCCATAATGTTGAAGATTTCATCTTTAAACAAAGGTCTAGGAAGTATGCCATTACAACATTTTCTGAGAAAGAACTCGTATTTTTACTCATGCGATAATCCATAAAACGTCTGTATGCATTTTCGTACTTTTCTCTTGATTTCTTTGGCAATAATTCTAATGAAGCAGTATTCACTGCCTCAACCAGCTCTGGTGGAGTCCCAGAAATGGAAATTTCATCCTCACTTATCATTTTACTTTCGGTAACACCAGCAATTAAATTTATAAGCGTCAAGTTTGACAATTCAACCTCAATACGTTTCCATAGTAACCCAAGTAATTTTATTAGGAATTTCAAAGCACCATTTATTTGGGAATAAAATTATCGCGTTTTTTTTAAATCAATCAATATCTGTCGAATTTTAAACGATTTGCGGAAAAAAAGTATGTTTACCTCGTAGGAAAAGCCACATACTATTTCCTCATTTACTGTTAAAAATAAACAAACATGGAACAGCATTTGAAGTTTGACGTAGATCCATAAGACAGAGAAATGTAAACTACCGTTGCCATTTATAAATAGTTTTCAGTGCTTCTACATATAAAATAATTGCTTGATATCTATTATAAGCTATTATTAAATGATAATGCACACTATGTGCACACATGATATTTTGATTACAATTAAATATATTAATATAACCAATAAATTCTTATTTTGGTTTGATAGCTCCTGTAGAGTATAAAATACGGAGTAATATTTTCAGCGACTCGCGAATAATAATAATAATGACCGATTCAAATAATATTGACTTCACAATTTTATTTAAATAACTGAGTCCATCTGTGTTTATACGTCCATGAATGAGAAGGTCATGTAGTCGATAAACCTGGTCCATTAGAAAGAGATGCAGATACTGCTTGGTATCGGTTTTCTCGGTCGCACTGGGGGAATGGTCCTGTATTGCAACAGTCAATCTACTTGTATTATAATATGTCTACACCAACGTTCGTCAAAAACACTACTGCGAGATATATTTTAGCAGTTTTATTGCAGTTTATATTGACGGTATTACATGACGGTATATGGTCTTAACGCATGGCCTAGGCCTACACTAATTACGAATTTAGATGGCTCCAAGTCAATTTATTCTCTTTGAATTTTAGGTGGTATTTATTGAAGATTCAGACGATTATGTTCCAGTTTCGCCCTTGAGGAAAAGAAATCAAGTTATCTCAGAAGACGATATTGATTGGCAGCATCCGTATGAAACGTGGGACAGGGAATACAGAAGATTTAGATTTAATAATACAAAGGTTCAGCGTAAGTTTTAAAATTTTATTTAAGTTTATATATTGTAGGACTAAATTTCCCAGTTAGAACGTTAGAATACTTTCAGAATGCAAAAAAAACGTTCTATAAAATGTTTGGTTGAAGTTCGCACGGCTCCGATGTTCACTCGAGTAATTCATAATTCTATTTATCGTTTTTTAATAAATTTTTTAGTTTTTCCTCCATTTCTTACAATTTTTTAACTCTTTTAATTAAAAAACTGACCACTCTACGAGAAAAATTGGAAAATGGAAAAAAGATGAGTAAAGTAGTCAAAAGATATTTGGTCCTTTTAGAACAATGTCCCTATATAGACTAGACGGGATCTGAAGAAATTCAGTCCACAATGGACATTTTCCATAGGAAGCTATTTTTTTGTTGGAATCGCTTTAGGATGTGCCCAGTATCGATAATCACGATATGCGCCAGTCGCAAACCCTGTGCTAAATTTTTTATTTAACAAAATCTGAAAACAATTGGTTAGCAAGAAATTGAAAATTTAATGTTTATTGTTGAAACAATAGCAATAATTGGAAAAAAAGTACAAAAAAATGAAGTTAATCCTTTAAATGTTTTCGACTTTCTAAACTTGACTTACAAGCTCCATATTCCGCCTAGAAAAACTTTCTAATATGTTTAAAACGTGTGCTAAATTTTTGTTAAGATCGCTCGGATAGGTATTGCATAATAATTTTGCAATCCAGCGCACTGGAAACTTATACTAAGCCCCAAATAAGGCCCTCATATAGTTTCAAATTTTTTTGCATATAAAGGAAGGTTTAATCTTTCAAAAGCTTTTTGTAAAATTCAAATCGGTTGACCAGGAGATCGCCTAGAAAATTTTTTAAAGTTTTAAACATTTTTTAGGCTTATAAACAAATTGAATAACTTTACGAGCTTTAAACATATCAATTTTAAAATTTATGCAATTAAAGAATAATAAAAGACGCTTCTTTTAAGAAATGATACATTCGGCTTACTGGTTGCCGAGATATTGAATGTCAAAGTTGGCATACATTTGCCGTGTAACCATAAGTGATAGAGGGCTCGTTTTTAAACAAATACCCTCGTCTTGTCAAGTACTTTTTATATGAAAAGTTTTACGTAATGCGCTTTATGGCAACATCTATAAAAAAGACAAATAAAAAACCGTTTTCGCGTAAAATGTCGCTCGGAATGCATGAGAGGTGGTGGTGGGGGACATTCATTCGAAATGTGAATCGGCGAGTTCAAAATCATAGCGTGCACTAAAAATTGCATTATCTGGGCTTCTTGTTGACCAATTTTGATCTTTTTTTTTTAATCGATGTCTCGGACGACAAGGATTTCAAATATCATATTTTTAAATACCATTCTTAATCGCAGATTGGGAAATTTGCAATAAACAATTGTATGTTAAACAAGTAATTGCATTTTTCTTTATGCATTTTTTTGAGCTTGCAATTTATACATTGAAATAAATTGTTACTTTTAGTGAATAATTATGTATTTATAAATTGCTAATAAATAATTTGAATTGTTAAAACAAAGGCAAACGATTTTTTTTGTAAAAATCAAACTTTTAAAAAAATCTACATTAAATATAATTTATTTCTTCAGTTTTATCATAATAATGACATTATTT